TGAGTTTATGTTAATGGGGGAGGAACAATTCAGAAAAGGAGGGTGAGAATGGTTGCACAACTTGAAGAATATAATCAATGTCAGTGAATTGCACATACAGAAATTGAACTGGTGTATGTTCTGCTATGTATATTCTCAACAACAAAAATAAAATACATTATATAAAAAAGAAAAAAACTGGAAATGTGATCACTTGACTAGGTATCTGATATTAATGAATTATTATATATTTTTAATTTTTCTAAGTGTGATAATGGTATTGTGGTCATTTTAGGAAAAAAAAGGGTTCTCATCTTTTAGAGATACATATGAAATATTTACAGATGACACGGGAGGCGGGTGGGTGCATCTAGCTTGGCAACGGGTACACGGAGGTTCACTGTACTATTCTGTTTGTTTTTTGTGCATATTCAAAATTCTCCATAATAAAAATTCAGAAATTTTAAACTTAAAAAAAAAATTTTTTAATTGTGCTTTAGATGAAGGTTTAGAGAGAAAATTAGTTTCTCATTAAATAATTAATACACATGTTATTTTGTGACATTGGTTGCCAACTCTGCAACGTATCAACCACTCTCCCCTTCTTGACCTTGGGTTCCCCATTTCCATTCATCCAGGCTTCCTGTCCTCTGCCGCCTTCTCGTCCTTGCCCCTGGGCTTGTGTGCTCATTTAGTCTTGCACACATGGCTGAGCTACATGTGTTCCGGTTTGTGTTACAAGCCTGTCTAATCTTTGGCTGAAGGGTGAACCTCAGGAGTGACTTCAATACTGAGTTAAAAGGGTACCTGGGGGCCATACTCTTGGGGTTTCTCCAGTCTCTGTCAGACCAGTAAGTCTGGTCTTCTTTTGTGAGTTAGAATTTTGTTCTACATTTTTCTCCAGCTCTGTCCGGGACCCTCTATTGTGATCCCTGTCAGGGCAGCTGGTGGTAGTAGCCGGGCACCATCTAGTTGTGCGGGACTCAGTCTGGAGGAGGCCGTGGTAGTTGTGGTCCATTAGTCCTTTGGACTAATCTTTCCTTTGTCTTTGGTTTTCATTAAAAAAAAATTTCCACACCCATTTTTAGCTTACAAGAGTAAAAAAGTGACACAAACCATGATTGCACTGGCTGAATGCTGCCCCCCCACCACCAAAGGATGAGATTAATTCTTTCCAGAGGAAGAGTCTAATATTGTATTAGTAGCAATGGAATTTTGAATCCCTGGGTGGCGCAAACAGTTAATGTGTTCAGCTGCTAACTGAGAAGTTGTAGGCTCGAGTCTACTCAAAGGCACCTCAGAAGAAAGGCCTGATGATCAACTCTGAAAAACCAGCTATTGAAAACCCTATGAAGCACAGTTCTACTCTGACATATATGGGGTCACCATGAGTCAGAGTCAACTCAGTGTGGCTGGTTTTTAGCAATGGAATTTAGCATATCAGTCTTTTTGATGGGCACACTTATTTCAGTCCTTTGGAGGGGATTTTACCATTCCATCCAAAATTTCAAACCTGATAGCAATGTTATGCAGGAATTCAGAGTAGAAGTTCTCTCATCCACATTTTCCTTTTCCAGATATCTAAAGAGACTCAATAAAGTGATCACACTTAGAAAAACTTCATCAATTTGGATCATTCCATTATCCTTACTATTTTCAAGTAAATATATTAACATTCCACATGTGATAAGAACAGAGTAGGTAGCTTTGAATTATCTCCCTCAGAATACACAGGGTTCCTCCTGTGGTAGGAAGAACTATCTTTGGATTTTGGACAAGCTGACAACCAACTCTGTCTCTCATTTTTAAAAACTGAATGGCCTTGGGCAGGTTTCACAACTAAGAAACGGGGATAATACCCTCACTGAAGAACTGGCGGAGGATTAAACAAAACACTGTATATACAGCTTTCAGCATTGTATCTGACATTTAGTGAACATCTGCTCAATAACCGGTGGCAATTATTACTCTGGAATGTTAAAGTAATGCAGACATCTACCAGCTTATTAAGGCAATAAATATTTAAGAAGGAAATATTTGGAAACCCTGGTGCTGTAGTGGTTAAGAGCTACAGCAGCTAACCAAAAATCCACCAGGATCTCCTTGGAAACCCTACGGGGCAGTTCCACTCTGTCCTATAAGGTCACTATGAGTCGGAATCGACTCAACGACAACAGGCTACTATGGGCTAGGCTAGAGATGGGTCATTTTGCTCCTCCTTTTAAAAACCTTCAACGATTACCCACTGTCTACTGAAAAAAAAAAGGCCAAACTATTTACCATAGCCTTTCATGACCTGTCTCCACCTTACTTTTCCAGCTCTCTAGGTCAAACTATTTCCTAATTGCCATTTTCCAGACATATATTGCTTGCCCTTTTAGATTTTCACGGCTCTTGGCTTTCCTCCTCTCTGGAATGGCATCTGCTCCCTCAATCCTGTACTGCAGTTGTCACTGGGTCTTTATTTCCTCTTTTGGACTGTAACTTCCTTAATGGCAAGGGGAATGTACTATTTACCTATACCTGTACCCGCTGCCGTCGAGTCGACTGCAACTCATAGCGACCCTATAGGACAGACTATAACTGCCCCATAGGGTTTCCAAGAAGTGCCTGGTGGATTCGAACTGCTGACCTTTTAGTTAGCAGCCTGAGCTGTTAACCACTGCACCACCAGGGCTCCCTGTTTAACTATAGCGCTAACCTAATATAACACCTTCTCTAATAAGGATTTGACAGATGTCTACTGAATAAAGTTTAGATGGTAAAATACTGTTATGGCTTGAACTGTGTCTCCCAAAAAGATGTATGGAAGTCCTCACCCCTGTTCCTGTAAATATGAACCTGTTTGGAAATAGGGGGTTTCTTTTGTTATGTTACTGAGGTCACGGCAGAGTAGGGCAGGTCCTAAATATAATTCCTTCAGTGTTGTGTCTTATAAAAAGAGCAGAATAGACAGAAAGGGAGGTGAGCTGGCTGGGAGCTACAAGCAAAGAAACACCAAGGAATGCCAGCAAACACCAGAAACTAGGAGAGAGGCTCACAGAAGCAACTGTCATGGCCAAGACCATGATTTGGACTTTTAGCCTCCTAAACTGTGAGAAAATATTTTTTGTTACAGCCGCACTGGGTAATTAAGACACTTACACTTACCTACATTTTCATCTTTTATTTTACTTTTATCTTCACAAAATTAAGAGGGTAGGGAGCTGACATAATGGGTTCAGTCACTGGCCTATGACCACTGTGACAGGGCTGGAACCAGAAAAAGGGTTCCTACCCCCAGTCCAAGATATTTTCAATGGAAAAGATATCCATGCTTTCAAGATTTATGTTTACTCCACAGCAGAAGAGAATATGTAATTTTAATTCTTGTAAGCTATTGGTACAAAACCACAAAATAATGATCTACTAGAAATTCTTGCAAGACTGATTAAAACACAAGTATTTCACTAGAAAAATTCATACATTAAAACAAACACAGCAACACTTGGCTCACTCCACTCTCCATAATTCTTCTGAGTGCTTCTGGATCCGTATTTTTCTTTTTCCCCTCAATTAGGCATCTCCTACACTAATAGCCTCTTCATTGCTAGCTGATGTAATGATCCATGCAGAAAGGTAGCTTGTTATTGCTCCTGTGCTATTTCTCCCTTTAATATTACTGAATACTGGAAAAGTTCCAAGCCTAAAAATTTAAGATAGAATGTAGTTATAGAAATATTATAGAAACCACTAGATTTTTATAAACGTGGTAATATATCATCACTACAGCAAACTTTAAATTCAAGCCAGTGACCTACAGGTCAAGTATCCAAAACCCATTAGCCATTACCAATTCCCCAAGCTAGCTAGTGCACAGAGGGCTGAACTTATTATGCAATGACAATAAATATTTCAAGGGTAAATTTGTAAATAAAAAATGCAATGAATACGGACTGATCAAATGTTCTGGAAAATTTGTAAAGGGACATTTTCAGTAGCTTGCACAATTTAAGTTATATTTCAAGGAAACAACTTTAGGATGTGTCACTACATTGAACTACTCAACTTCAGCTAGTAAATATGTACTTCAAAAAGGTACTCTCTCCAGGAAAGGTGTCATAAATATGCTGTTCCGGAATGTATACAGAACCTAGCAACCACTTTTAAAGTCTCATTTGCACGTATCTCTTCCCACCCGTCTACCCCTAAGAATCAAACTAACGACTTCTTACCAGTTTTTCTCACTGAAAAAATCATGTGACTATCAGCACCATTTAACTAAGTGAATCATCCAGTAAAAAAAAAAAAAACATACTACCATCTTGCTCTGAGAAAAAAGACATTTTTCAATTAATTCTGCTAGAAGCATAGACGATACTTTTAGGCCTTACTCTGAGAATTCACTCTTCCAAATTGCTTACAAGGTAAAAATTTAACCATCTAGAAGCTGCCAGAACACAGTGGACATCCTTTCTCCTTTGAGTATGACAAGCCGGAGAGGATGTATTGGCTTAATATTTTACTTCCTTCTCTCTGCCACATTATTACTGCTAGGTAATTAAGTCCTATTCGAGTTTATGGTTCCCCAGAATGGCTGGACAGAGCATGTGTGGAACCTATAGAAAGACTTCTTTCACTATGGGGAAGGAGGAAAACTCGGCGAGGTCTGATGTCCATGCCATGGGAAACAGGAAAAGGAAAACGACAGTAAAAAGGCAACATCAAAATGGGATCTCTGGGAGAGAGGGCTCAAAAGGGGATACCTCGGCTCGTGGAAACTGGAGAAATTAAATCAGGTAAAAAGCCCTGGTAACCTCGGGAAGGCGGGACTCGGGAGTGCTAAACCCAGGTTCCAGGCCACTCAGGGGTGTGACCTGGTGGCCGGGCGGATAGTGACAAGCTTCAGGTAGCCCCAAGGGCGGAGCCCTGGTCCGGTCACCGCAGTGGGTGCGGGAGAGACAGGCCCAGTCACCCTGGGGGACACAGCCCAGGCCGGGCTTCCAGTGCCGGAAAAAGGGCAAGCGGCCGGCCCGGCTCACCTTTGAAGAAGCGCAGCGCCAGGCCGTACAGCTCCTCCAGGCCAAAGCCCCAGTGCAGCTCCAGCCGCCGCGCCTCCTCCGCCGCGCCCCCCGCCGCCGCCTCCCCGGGCTGCTCCCCTGCGGCGCCTGGGCCCCGGCCCGACCCCGGAGGCGAAGGTGGCGGCAGCGGCGGTGGCAACAGCGGGGCACCCTCCGCACCAGGCCGCTCCTCTGGGTCTGGGCTTAGCGTCAGGCCGTCGACAGAGACCTCGAGTCGCTCTGCATTCAGCACCGCCGCCATCTCCGGCTGCTGCGCCTCCTCAGCGGGGACAGGCGGCGGCCACGTATCAACTTCCTCCTGACCTCTGACCTCTACTCACCGACACCGGAACTTCCGCTACCGAAGAGGCTCGAGGGCTCTAGGAGAGGGGCTGATGGCTGGTGCCCCGCCCCTCCAGGACATCAGTCACGCCCCCTCCGCGACCACCCGCCCCGCCCCTGAGGTCCCGCCCCCGATGGAAGACCGCGCCCTGCCCTCACCCGTCCTCTCTGACCTTAGTTTCTCCCAAGGGGCAAGTGCTACACTCCGACGACTACATCCCAGCTGTCTTCAGCACTTCGTTCTACCCGGCAACTGTCGGGGTCCGGCAGGGCCGGGGTCAGGAGAGCCCGCGGGGGTCGGTGCGGGGAGGACAACAATATAGGCAAGCGGCCTACCCTTCGGTTCCGAGGAGCTTCGCGTTGTGAGCAGTTGTGTGCTTTGCAGGACTCTCTTGCCCACCAGTTTCCTTTGTTCTTCACAGCATCTTTGAGGCAATGCAGGGCAAATGTCTTTTTTTTTTTTTTTTTTAAATAGGAAATAGGCTGCAGAGAAAGTCAGTGATTTCTCTGAGGTGGTTGTAAACGGGCAGATCCTAGTTTTGCAATAACTGAAGCTCATACAGTCAGTGGGGCCCTCTTTAAGATGAAGAATATAAAATTACGAACACAAATATAGGTAGGAAAGTGAATATAGATTTAGAATGAGAAAGAAATCACAAATGACATTTTTAAACATCTTCCAGATCAAACATCTAACCCTCTTGCTAATATTTTTAAAAGTTAAAATCCACAAACAGCACACACACACAACCATAAAATTTTTATTAACTGCCTGATAGAATTCTACACGTTGTTTATAAAGTCCAAAAACATAATTTTTTAATTTTATTTGTTTTAAATATTGAAGATGTCCGCGATGACGTTATGTACATTCATCTATGTTTCCAGGCCTCATGGACACCCATTATAATAACTTTTCCTACATTTTTGGCTGATAATTATTTTGTAATATTTTCTATAAAGAAAATAGATGAATGTCTTTTATCTAGAATGGTTGATCAAAATTTGTTTTTTATTATTGTTTATAAGTTTCTGTTTCACAATTCATTACTGATACTGTCATGTTTAGGGTTTTGGTCAAAATTGGGGAAACTATTAGGTTTCTTTCATATATGAGCTATAAGATTTCAGGGCCACTTGGCTGCTTCAGTGGCAATTTTGCATGCGGTTTTTACTAGAACCCCAGAGTTTTTCAGGACAAAATTTGTCTACTGCCTTAAGGCATCATCTGCTCTGTGGGGATTCATAAAACATGTGACTTCCCATACAGACCGACACATTGTAGTACAACTACAAGTTTGTGCCCTATCAATACAGGAATTCTAATATATTCCATTTTGCATGATTTGCATTAAAACAAAAAGAGGTATGGTGCATTTATAATTATATATATGACATTACTTAGTAGATTCCGTGATGAATGAGATCGTCCATTTTGATTAGGCATCGAGAGAATTGATCCCTCTGCTTATTCATTTTTCTTCTGTTAGTTGGAAGAATTTTCTATGGACTAGCTTCTCACTCCTTTTATTTCAAACCTTGTTTCTCTTCTATTACCCATGTACTTACTGTGCCGGGCACCACAGACTTTCTTTGCCTTCTGGCTCTGCAACCTCGTGACGTAGTGCTGGCTGAGTTGGCATAATGGGCAGTAGGTGTATTCCAGAAAGCCATTTCTACACCCACAGTGAGCAATATTTTAACAGTACCCGGAAGTGACTGTGAACCACATAAATGCATGCCATTACACTCAAATGTGTCCCTTATTTAATCATTGTCCCCTTAGACATTTCCACCAAAAAGTCCATGGCCATTCCAATACCACCTAACACAGAGAAGAGTGATGGAAGGGAAGTCAGAATGCAAAGAGACAGTGGCCTTAAGTACCTTACTTTTGCAAATTAAAAAAAAAACAAACATTGGACCATGTGAATATACTGCTAGGGCCCCTCTGAGGGCCTTGGTATACCCATTTCTCAAAAGTAATTCTACTACTCCAAGTCCCGTGGTTTTTCCACTTAGCTTAGATCTTTAGATTTAGCTTTAATTAGTTTTAAAATATGCACATTACAAGGCCTACCCTCTAAGAAATCATAAATATATTCCCTTGCTGTCTAGCTCAACATTCTACCTTTAGTTATCTATAACTGTTGAAGGTGAAAATGAGATAGTAAATATAACTCTACTTCTGTTTTCTAAGTTTTCTATGATAAGCATTTCATTTGTAATCAGGAAAAAAAGTTATTTTAAAAAACAGTATAAATATAAAAACCTATAGAATATAACCAGGAAGGTGGATAGGTAAAACATAGTAAGAGATTAATCAATTAATCATTAATTTAGCATATTGAATATTCTTGAAGAACATGAACATCTAGAGCAAACATCTAACCCTCTAGCTAATAGAATCATCAGGGACATACTATAGGTAGTTGCTCTTAGAGACCTAAAATAAGATTAGAGAATAGAACTCCCTTTTAAGAACCCACTGTAGGAGATGAGTTCTAGACATTCACTATAATAAGAGGTCAAACTTTAATGTGCATAGGAATTACCTGAGGATCTTGTTAAACTATGGATTCTGATTCAGTAGATCTGGAAGGGTCCCTAAGAGTCTGCATTTCTGATAAACTTTCTGGTGATGTTGCTGTCTGTAGACCACACTTTGAACAGCAAGAGTCTAGGAAATGTTTTCACAGCTTGGTGGTGGTTGTTAGCTGGTGTCAAGTTGGCCCCTGACTCATGGTGACCCCATGCATAATGCTGACCAGTTCTGCACCATCCCCATGCTCAGTTGCAGAATGGACCATTGTGAGCCATAAGGTTTTCATTGGCTGATTTTCGGAAGTAGATGGCCATCCAGGCCTTTCTTCCTAGTCCACTTTAGTCTGGAAGCTCCTCTGAAACCTGTTCAGCCTCATAACAACACACAAGCCTCCACTGGCAGATGAGTGAGTGGGCAGTGTCTGTGCATGAGGTACACTGGGCAAAAATCGAACCCTGGCCTCCCACGTTGAAGGTGAGCATTCTATCACTGAACCACATTTACTGAGGTATAATTGATATACAATAAACTGCAAATTAAAGTTTATAGTGAGTTTTGGTGTACGTATATACCTGTAAGAGTATCACCACAATTGAGATAATAAACATATCCATCACCCATTTTATAGTCCCTCCTCCAAACTTTTCAATAGACATTTGCTGTAATATGCCTGTCACAGTAGAAGCTAACTTACAGAGACAGCTCAGAGAAGCTCCCTGCCATACTCCTGTTGTATATATGTGAGGAGTCACACCAGATTATCAAAAAGGTATGTTATTTCTTGAAACCTTTCAAATATATTCTCCAAATCTGTTCCTTTTTCACAAAAATTCACAAAAGAGAGTACTTTTTGACCTACCAACTTAACTCTATGGATTTCAGTTAAGCTCCATTCCTTTCAATCATTTGCCAAAAGAAGTTAAGTGTTAGCATTTCTGAAATGCTTTCTGAAGTTTCTTCCCTAAAATCAACCTTTCCCTTTGTTGTCTCCGCATATTTTCATCTTCTCTGTTAAATATTGTTAGATAACAGACAGAGACAGAGATGGGTATTATGCTCCCTGCTTTATCTGATGAATGAATTAATCATCAGTACTCAGGAAAGCTTTGCAGTTACTCTTACTTAGTAATTCAGGACATTTTAGTAGTGGGAGTTACTTGGTGCTCGTCTTAACTTATCCAGTGCTGCTATAACAGAAATACCACAAATGGATGGCTTTAACAAAAAGAAATTTATTCTGTCACAGTTCAGGAGGCTAGAGGTCCGAATTCAGGGCCCCAGCTCCAGGGGAAGGCTTTCTCTCTCAGTCGGCTCTAGGGAAGGTCCTTGTCGTCAATCTTCCCCTGGATCTAGGAGTTTCTCAGTGCAGGAACCTCAGGTCCAAAGGACATGTTCTGCCCCCCGCTCTTCATTCTTGGTGAGACAGGAGGTCCCTCTCCTCTCTGCTTGCTTCTCTCTTGTATCTCAAAAGAGACTGACTCAAGATACAACCTATCTGTAGATTGAAGTCCTGCCTCATTAACATAACTGCCTCTAATGCTCACAAACCTCATAGAGGTTAGGATTTACAACACATAGGATAATCACATCAGATCACAAAATGGTCGACAACCACACAATAGTGGGAATCATGGCCTAGCCAAGTAGACAGACATTTTTTTTGGGGGGGGTGGGGGGCACAACTCAATCCATAACAGTGCTCCTTGATGGCAAGCAGCTGGAGGGGGACTGCCATGCCATGTCCTTGGACTCCCACAATCCTTACCACAGGATGGGAGATGAGGTAGGCATCCAGAATGTTCAACTGAATGAATGAAGGTATAATTATATCTATTACATACAGGGGTGGATTAACCAGTGAGCACGATATGCACTGGCTTGCACTGAGCAAGCTACGTACGGGTTTAGTTGTATTTACTCGCTAAGCTGTGGTGCGCAATTTCACATGGGCTTCACCACATCCTTGACATGGTGGGGACAGGTGGAAACGTGCGCTGCAGGTTGGTGGGAAGGCACAAATGGGCCCATGCGTACCTTGCTTATTGGGTAATCTGGCCCTGATTTACATATAATACAATTCAGCTAATGTATGCCTGACGCGTGCAGGTTGTCTCAGAGGTGTCCTAAGGTGCAAGCAGCCACAAGACTACAGGGATGAGGACCCAACCAGTAGCATGAAGCCCTCTATAGGTGCTACATCCATCCAGTATAACTGAGCCGCCCACACAAGAAACTTACAAAGCGCTAGCAAACGAAAGCCGCTTAATTACTCACAGAAAACACACAGCAAATAACAGGAGCAGTTACTTGGTGCGCAGTCCCCCGGCTGGGAAAGCCGCCTGAACAGAGATGGAGACTCTTACACATGCCCCCACTTTGCGCCGTTAACCAAGGGACTAGCAAGTCCTCTCCCCACCCAGTTTT